CGGCGCCTGGGCCCCGCGAGGCCACCTGCGAGGCTGCTGTGCGCGCGGGCGGGCGCCATTGGGCGTCGCGGCGCGTGGCGCCTCCCACGCACGCACTGGAACGCATCGCGCGCTTGTTCGTCCTTCTGCTACAGAGAAATTACTCTGAGAAGGGACAGGTCGGAAATCAAAGAAGTGCTATGTTGGATGGCTTTTGTCGTGTCGAATCCTTTTGCAAATGAGCCATCTGCTTACGAACCTATTGACGAGTTGATTACATGGGCATATCCTATTGTTACATTGCTAGCAGCAGCCAAACTAGCTGTCGATACGGCTATTTCTTACAGTCTGGAGTCGGGGTGTGGGTTGCTATGTTGTTAGCAACGCCTAGTGCACCCAGTCCCACCAATAAATAAGTCCTGTCCCCAGTTCCCCCCATACGTCACATACTATTTCTTTCTGTTTTTAACGAAATCAATGTAATCAAACGCTTTGAAATGTAAATATTAGATAGATTGAAAATTTCTGCTGGTGACCTGGTGGCAGAACACTACAACTTACTTACTACAATTAGGGATATTAATGCAATGTAATTTTAGATTATTTTAAGGTAATAATATAATAATTATTATTATTCTAATAGCATTAATCCTATATTTCATGGCTTTCATGAACAGAATGAACTAATAAATACTGCACCCCACTCACGTCTCTACACTCGCACTTTCCTTGTCGTTCTACTTGTCTTTTTCACTACGTCACGACACTACAATTCAACTACTACTTCAAAAATATGTATTAATGCAATGCATATAGTAGTAATTATCACAAGACTAATAACTACTATTTTAATAAGCGTACTAAGTACAAAAGTTTACAAATACCATTCGTTCATCCAGTCCGTGATGTTGTATGTGTGAAGGAAAATTTCCCAACTTCTGTTTTCTGCGGCTGTTTGGGAAGGAAAGAAAGTAGGAGAAGAGGGAGGAAAAAGAGGAAGAAGAAGAAGAAGAAGAAGAAGAAGAAGAAAAGCACCCACAAAGTTCGAGTTATCTAATAGTTCTACACTTCACTGTTTGACATGCATGTATATGTTCATGATTCAGCGACCTGGGGAAAATCGATTAAATCGGGAAGGCATTCTTGTTTTACCTAAAATTTTCAGAAATTATTTTTATTAAAATCCAAAAGTTTGTCATCAAAAGGTTATCCTAAGCTTTTTAATATCAAACCAGTATCAGCAAAAATGTCATTTTATCAAGCCCGTTAAAGATTTTCACCTCCCTATCCGGTTTACCCGTATATATTACCTCGCCGAGAGATTAATTTGTTTCCAATAAAAACAGATGGCATTGATAAATAACTTTGAATGAAACGACACCACGTTCGCGCTGCATGTTTTACTGCATTCTTATCGTTTGCTGACTTGCGCTTTCCTTGTGTGGGAATGTGTTAGGGCATCGTGGAGCTGTTGCGGATCCGATCTGAAGGTCGTTCGTTTCGTCAGTCGCCTCATGTGGAGTTTCTACAGGATCTGAATTAGTAATTCAAGTCAAATTATTTACACATTCGAGGAGTACTCAAAGTGACATTCTCGACTAAGAGAATTGTGTGTTGTCGTATTGACCGGGAGAATGCAAATGATCCTTTCAATCGCATTTTGTCATTTGTGATAATTAAAAATGTTAAAGAGAACAAACTTAAATTCATAGCTATTATCACCATTTGATTTAATTTTTGCTTCCAGTAACCTCATAACCTTGATTAAGCGACGACCTTTATCTACTGTAACCGTTGGTGACCGGAGTATCTGCAGAAGTAAAAATATCTCGCTTGAATGATCGAGGCGAAATAGAGAGGGCACCGGTTTGACCTCTCGGATAGATTCTGGGTTCGAATCTCTCCCTGGACATTAGTGTCCACGGTTGTGGGGGGATCATGTGGTGAGATGCGAAGGGGCTCTAATGTACCTTGGTGTCTATTTAGTGCCCAGGGTTGGTACTCACTCCAGTGTGTAGGGGTAATTGAAAAAAAAAAAACGTTAGAAGTAACCATTGGAAAGGTAAATAACTTAATTTTTATTGCTGTGTTATGAGCAAACAATTCACAGCTAAAATTACAAACAGATTTACAGAAATTGCTTATTTCTCCAATAAAGAAAAACTTATGTTTTAAATTTTAAAAGTAAATTACTAACTCACGCTTTTTTATCATGCTAACAATTGCTGAGTTAAGACCACTTTCAGAATTTTATTTTCTGAAAATGCGATTAGTTGAAGAACTTTTGAAATACAATCATTGTGTTAGAAACATTCCGCGGTCCCGAAAATATCTCTCCTAAGCAGCGTTGAGCAGTTTTGTTCTCGCTGCAGTTCAGAGATGTGCAAGTATTGTAATGAACATGCCTACGACTTCATATATCTCGTTTGGTCACATAGAAATGTAGTGAAAACTTTAGAGATTCAGAATACACGTGGGTTTAGGGAATGCTGGTACAAAAACTAAACTTCCTGGTCTTTGTAATATTATTGCAGCGATAATATGAACGTACACCTGTTTATAAGTCTGAAACAAGTTGCGAAAATAATACCTTTATTACAAAGAAGATTTTATGCACATATCACAGTTTTTAGCGTGTACTATTGAATAAAGAAATTCCCGCTTGTAGGGTAATACATTCAGTTAGTAGAGTCGCATTTTCCGGTTAATTTTTTTTTCACTTTCATTGTATCTTTCTCTATCGTGGAAAAGATTAATACACCCATTGTCCCAAGAAACGAAATACCTTCAACAAGAGATCAATGATTTAATTGAGCTAACATATTGTGAACCTAGAAATTGTGGCGTTTTGAAGACCAATCATAATTTACTGATATGGAAAAAGAGTATTTCATTTTCATCTTCCTTCGGTTTGGTTACAATTATATGTTTTTAGTAGATATTTATTATCTTAAACTTTCACTCATTCATCAACTATTTATAGTTAAAATGATAGGAAGGGATTCTGGAACGCAAGAAAACGTGCGCAGATGATCTTCTCCCCCATACGTCATATAGTTTTTTACTGTTTTTGGACCAAATAAATGAATCTAATTTATGAGCGAATAATGAATGTGTCTTTGAGTCTTGTAAGTAAAATGAATCGGAAATTCCACGGGTGACTGTGTGCTCACTACATTCGTACACATTTCAGCTCCTGGTTTTATTCTTTAACATATGCAGTGGGGAGGGTGTGCTGATGCGAGTTACCAGCGACGAATCCTCCTCGAGCACTCCACACGCGCGTAGTGCCCACATCGTTCGGCCTCATTTGCAAGCCGCGTGCGCACACATGCTCTTAATAGGGGTCGCGTGTTGTCCGAAGGCGGAACGCCGAGTCCGAATCCTTTTCGCTGAATGCCTCGTCGGGTGCCGTGGTCGGCGGGATGTTATTGTACATCGGAAGGCGCTAAGATTTATTTGCGCTCTGAGCACCGCGTCGGGCAGGACGACCCCGAACGCGCCGCGCGGTCTGCGGGGCGACTGACCGGCCTGTTTACATTCCACGGAGGAAGGAGAGCGTTGGTGGAGCGGGAAGACCTCTTGGGCCTCTACTGCCTGTCAAAGGCAATTCTTTTGATCGCCCTGGTGGAAATGTGACCTTTCGATCCCCCCATCTCAAAGTCAAGTGGTTTTCGTGAGAAATGAAGGGATCCTAAGTAGAGTGATAATAATTAGCCGCTGATGATGACGTTGAAAATTTTGAAATAGGAGAACTGTAAAACTGCGTTTTCATTGTCTCATGAAGGAACAACTGAAAGAGCGTCTTTTTTAATCTCGAAATAATTATGCCAGTTTACAGCCGCTACGCCAACTTAAACGTCCTGACTATGGGGTTCCAGATGGCGGAATGGAATAATAATACTTTTAGTGCCTAAATTAGGTACTAAATGCTTCTCTCGTTGCAAGAATCCAAGATGGGAGGTAAAAACCGTCAATGACAATACAGTTTGTTCTTACATCGTGTGGAGAAGAGCGTAAGTATACATGCGAAGGTGACTTTTATAATAAGAATCGCTATTTTATAAAAGAGTACTATGGATTATAACTCGAAATTCATGTACTGTGTCCTTTGCCATTAGACAACTTTTCAGTTGCAGAAACAGATCACCTTCAGATGCAGATAACCTAATAGTTTCTTCATAAATGCATTTGTTGTCCGTAAGTTCCCCACGTTTCATGGAACTATGTATTAAAGAAATTGAAGAGTGGTCCCCCTTCTCCTCGTGGTTGAATCAAACAATGATGTCAATGTTTAGACCACAGATTCCGAGAAAATAATGGAATAGTTAAAACATAACTTAGAATATTCACCCTTGCCTTGCACCCTCTGCAGCGTGGTCGTCTCGATCGCTGCAGCTGTTGACAATGTGCCGATGTGGTCCGTTGTCGCGGGCGACGTTTGTGTCTATTGAAAATTATTTCGGTGCTGGAAGGGTAGGGAAGCCACGTCCGCTCCTCTTAACTCCGCCACCACCTATGTGCCCAAGGTGGAGTGGTATCGCCGGAATCTCTGCGTTATGCGCATCATTGCTATGTTGCTATATTTTTTTAAATAAAAGGTGTAGTTAGCAATGCAAACTCAAATGTGCAGTAACTCCTAATTTATTTACGTAATTTGTTTAATTCAAGTCCTTCGACTCTCGTTTTTTTCTTGAAAGATCAAACAAAAGAGCAAATCTAACACATTCTTCTAACATGTTTCTGCTCTTCCACGATTCATTTGATTTCAGGGACCATTTATTTAACAGATTAAGCCCCGTTACAAACTCAGCAGATGTGATCAAATTTTGCCCAGAAAGTAGGCCTGAATTCTTGTTGGTATTGCAGAACTACTGAATGGAAATTAATTCATCTTTAGGACTCCTTTTTCCGGCAACCTTATTTTAAATGGTTCTTATTGTAATAGTGATTTATGTAATGGAAGGTAATTTGTTGAGTATGCTGCATTGTAGTCCTGACTTGGTGGCTTCGTTTTGCAGGTGAAGCGGCCTCGAAACGAGGGCGACGCGGACGCCGCCGAGCGAGGCCGGTGAGTAGAGCTCCTCCGCCTGCGACGGCCTTCTCTTCGGCACCTTACTCTCTGTACCCCTCCCCGGGTCGATTGTCTTTCAACACTCGAGCTCGGGTTCAGCCGGCGCTCGCTTTACCGCTCAGAATGTGTCCATCCCTGGGCACGCGATGCAAATGATAGAAGAGTGTGCTGAAGAACGATGGGCCATAGTCATGCACGTGCTTACAGACTTCAGCGGGGGGGCGCCCCTCTGAAATGTTTTGTTTGGAAGGGGACCATAATATATATATATCATATATATATATATATATATATATATATTATATAATATATATATATATAATTAGGATAACTTAAACCGCTTTCAAGTTTATTTATGGGCCGTTTTCCGAAACCTACTCGGACGACTTTCGCATACAAAACCAAATGTTACGTTAACACTAATGGAATACATACAACCCCTACCTCTGTGTACCTCAGCATAACGCTGTCTCAAACTCCCTCCCCCTCTTTAGCGTTACGTAATTACAGCGGTCTCTAAACAGAAACAGAAGTTACGTGGTCTCAAGTCGTTATGCCTTGGGGAACCAAGCTTTAATGTCGGGGCCATAGAGCAGCGGCGGCCGCACTTTAAATAATGTTGGCAACAGGGTGAAGAGTATAGGTTTGTTTATAGACATGACGAGGCTGTTTTGGCTTATGTGTTTCGTTTAATGCTAATAGAAATAATTTTTTGCTCGCGATGGATTTTTGGAATAAACGCGAATGCGTGATGGTCCTTTCCTTAGGAGCTTATTTTGGAAATGACACTAATTTTGAGGTACTGGTGCTACGCAACCACCATACTGGTTTATGCATCGGTTAGAGTGGGTTGGAGTAATTGATTTTGTACAGAGAATGTCGGTTGACAACAATCCAATTATCGACTGAGAAGTCGCGTGATTGTCGAGGGGGGGGGGGGGGGGGGACTGGTTTGAATCGAATCGACGCTCTTCCGTCTGGTTGATGCGCGTGCTGCGTCACTGCTCCTCCGCTGTGGATGGGGGGTCGGAGCAAGTCGTTTGACCTCGGGCACCGAGCGGGGCCCGCGTGGCGGTGGCGTGGGGGGCGGGGCGTGCTTCAGCAGAAAGGCCCCTTGGTTTCTCGGAACGCCGCGCCGCCGCCTCCGCGACCCACACCGCGCTCCGACGACATGGAGCTCTAGAGTCAATTTCCAATGCACTCGCTCGTTGCGCCTCCCGAGAGGGGCGGATGCTTTTGTTTCGTGCCATGGAACTCATCGAAGTGGTACATGTCGGCGATCGCCAAACTTTCTCGGAAATTAAGGATAAAGGTTACGAAACACGGCTTCAGTAATACTTGTGGTGAAAATGATCTTAGCTGCTGACGCATACTTCCTTGCCACTGAATTAGGCGCGCCAGACTAAGAATTTCCTACTGCGTCTTGGCGAAGTGCGTCTCGTTTCGACAGGACTCGGTAATAATTTAGGGGGAAAAATCTTATTTTGTAAAAAATAAGATTCTTTTCATAAAAAATGTAATAAAATTGAATAAATTCATAGATTAATTTTTTCGTGAAAATACGTGCTGCTTTACAAGTCGTATTTTTGACCACACAAATAAACTGTGTGCATTGCATGCAATGTCATATACTACTTTGATCATAAAAGATTGCAAATCCATAAAATATAATACAAAATAAGAATTAAGAAATTTTCTAATCCAAATATTTTAGTTACAAACGTGGCATTCTTATCGAGTTATTGCTGAAAAATTTGAAAAAGTAACCGTGTGGCATTAGGCTACCGCGAGGGGCTTTTCAGCAGCATATTTCCCTCTGCCCCGTCCTGTTTCGCTCTCCGCTCCCGCGGGGGCTACCGAGCTGGCCCGCCGGGCCCATGCGCTGACTCGCTTCCTCTCTCGTCTGCTTTTCCTGGGCGCAGTTGGCGACATCGTGCGGGTCGACTGCCTTCTCGACTTCCCCACTCCTTTTCCATGCCTCGTTCTCTTCGCCTCTTTAGCCTGGCAAGCCCTCTCTTGGGTACGAGTCGGGGTGGAGTGGAAATACCGTTTACCTTTTACCTCTTTCTATAGGTGGGTAGTTAACTCGCAGTCGATTCATGTAAGCTGTATGATGGGCAAAGCGGCTTCTCAGCCTGCTGACTCGGGGATCTGTCACTTTCACCGTCTCTCATTTCACCATTGATCATTTGGCCATCATTCAAATCATTGTACAAATTTCTCTTTTGTTGAATTTGTTGAAACTTTTCTTTCCTCCTGCTATATTGCTTATGACTTCATTCCCTTTCTTTCGTCATACTCACTGACTTCCAGCCCCCCCTTCGATTCTGGTCCGTTTATGCAATTAGAAGAAATGAGTCCTTGATTAAAGTTAATGGTGTTACTTTAGGACATTCTTTCTGGTTCTAACCGTTGTAGAAATCACAACCGGGATATAGAATGAGGAATTATAGTTCATTGGATTTCATTGCGGTATTTTTATTGCGCCCTCAGGGCTGGTGTAAAAAGCGTAAGGACAACATCAATTTGAATGTACACGTACACAAATAAATAACAGGATATGCAAAATGATAAAAGATGTTCAGGTTTTTTCTTGCATATCATGTTATTAATTCGTTACAAGAAATTTCCCACGTGATCATTAGGAAGAAAGTGATAACTTTTGACTCGCCTGCATCCGCGAGATGCACCGGACGCGCGGACTGTTCAACACTGCGCGGACAGACACTCTGTGCTATTTTAGTCGTATATTATTATGTAACTTTTTAAATTTAGCTTATTGAAAGTCGCACATGTTAATATTGTTGATAGAGTGTTTTTCATAATTACAATGTTATTTAGTTTTAAAATAAATACTTCATTTCATTAATTTGTTTAAACCTTTTTTGAACCTATGTAATTGAAGTCATACTTTTAAGTTTCTTAATGTGAACCTTCGAAAAATAATTTCTTTAAATTGTAATATCAACGGATTATTTTTTTAAATTGTTACATAGACATCCCTTTTTCGGATGAACTACTCAGTCTATATCAGCTGATGAATACTTAATATGATGAAATTGCTCCAAACCTGGAAGCCCGCGACTGACAGCAAGTGTAAATTACATCTTTGTTTATACTACATGAGAGTTCATCATGTATATTTAAATATCTTCAACAAACAATCTGGAGGAGACGGTAATTAGTTCTGGCTGTACGCTAAAATCGAAGTTGCAGCGCATCTTTTGTTGGCTGTATTCGATTGTGGATGATAGGCAACGCTGTTTGTAGTGAACACAGCAGGGTCAGGCCACACGTCAAGGAGTATGGAATGGATCCGGGAGGATATGGGCAGTTTCCCGTAAGGTAGGGTAAACAAGGGAGGGAATAGATTATGGGCACAATTCATTTCTTTTTCGTTTGAATGGATGAATATGACAAATACCTGGCCAATTAAAGTTGAATTCAGCTTTAAACTTTCTGATCGATTTAATAGCTCGAGTTTCCAGTAGTACAACATGAAAGTTTAAGTAATAGAAATTTAATGCAACTGAAAACTTGGGAGGTCTGTGGAGTGGAATAAAAAAAAAAGTATGTCATACATCTCAATTGAGAAATATCACATTTTTAATCGCTATTGAGGTTTCGACAATTAAAATGTCGCTTGCGTGTTTGTATAATTTACTATGATACGTGTGTTATTATTTTTTTGGTTTGTTTTGTTTTTGACCTTCAGTCACTGGCTGCAAATCAGTGTTTTTCAAGCTTCGTCCTCCATTCCATTGTATTATCCACTTATTTTAATGTTGATCTTGAATGTCACTGCTGTAAAATAATGGAATCATGGCTCGTTTCCCGTCGTAGGTGATGTTTGTAACAATATGAAACACTTGTCGAGTAAACACGAATCTTTTTGAGCCACTTAGCTTCTCTTAATTCGTAACGCGTTTGCTTTGGGCACCATATAGCCCTACATTCTGTTTGTGTTCCTTGTGAAGATGAAGTGGAACCGAAAGTTAGAGTTATTCAACGATTAAAAGGGCTTGGGTGATTTTTAGTGAAATTTGCTTGATTTTACGTTAGTTTATGTTAAATATTCTATGTTTTTAATTTATATTTCGTCTCTCAGTATTCCCAAATACATAACAAATCCCAAATTGACGTTTATTACATTAATATATTAAATTAATGTTATGAATATTTTAATTACTTTGATTTCAAAGTTGTTTGATAATTCAATATTGATTTAAAAGTTCGAAACGCGTGTACAATTTACATGTACATTCATGATATGAAACAAACGTCATTTATTTTACTGCTGGGTTGCACAGCGAGGGCCTCATTAAAATATATGTGTAATATTGTAAAATAATCTCTTGCAATTCTCTTTCCTTCGGCGCGATTGACACCGTAGGTTTAGCTCAGTCATCAACGCACATGCGATACTGGCGTAACATTTCATACATATGGACTATTTGCCCTCGGAGATCCGCATTCTGCCCTCGTGTGGGAGAGGTCGTGGAATAGAGGAGAGAAGATTGCACCCGTTCAATCGTTATTCAAAATAAACAACAAGGAATCTGTCCATTAGAGTATCAAGCTTCAAGAAATTTCATTTGCAGAAAGTTACTCGCGATTCTGATACCACTAACGTAAAGATTTTCCTAAGCCTTCCTTCGGAGAGTAAGTAAAGGCAGCCATTGAGGTAGTATAATTACTACCGCAAGCCGAAAAGACCATTGCAATGCAACAGAACTTCACATAATATTAATAAAAAAAATCCCGTTCCATTGTAGATGTTGATAGCAAACATGTAGTGCCTGGTGGTCTCTTTCTTGGAGATTTGCTCCCACAGCAACTGTTTCGCAATCAGTGGTTCACGGAGAATTAGAATTTGCCGGTACACGCAGTATGAGAGGAAGCGGAATACCATAAATAAATATTTGCCTTTGTCAATCAAAATCGAATTTTTTTAGCTTCCATTTCGTTCTTGGTAACTGCTTGGTCAGCTAACGAAACCGT